GTAGAGGGAGGGTTAGGCTCACAATTAAAAGTAGTAAGCACGGAGGCGGTGGAAAAACTGTTCAATGTCCAAATGTGAGTTGTATTCATCGATGTTTGGGTGGAGGGGGACAAAGGTGAGTCCTTTACTGAGGACTGACCGTTCGTCCTCAGTAAGGGGGAGGTATGCGGGGGATGGTGAAGACTCGGCAGGGGCGGGTGCTACTGTCTCCTCTGGAGCTGCTGGCTGTGGAGGTGGTGTGTCGAGCGACATCGGCTTTCTCATAAGTCTGTTTCTTTTCATCCTGCAAAAGACAGCACTTCATTCTGCAGAAACATCTCAGGCTAATGGGACTATGCTGTAGCACCATTCATGACTCCTTCAGAGGATGGCTTTACCATCCTGTCCTCACACATAGCAACTTCCACTTCTTTGTGACCTTCTTTGTGTATTTGTGTCTAATGTCACAGTTTGTTAGTTTTTGTGGGTAATATGTAAAAAAAACCTCATTTTCATTCAAGATGACTGTGGAATTGCCTCTCATTCATTTTCAATCTAGTTACTGAAGAAATTAAGTGTGATATCTAGGTGCTACATAAAGCAAAATTTTAAGATAAAAGTTCTCGTGACAGATTGAGAGACAGCTTAAAGATGTGGGGAGTTGTAATCTCTCTTTACCTGGTCATAACATTAAATAAGGTGACCAGTGCATCTGTTGGCCCTCATATCTCCTCGCTGTGTTCACAATAGTGTCCCTGACCCTCCACTTTCCCTGTAGATATTTCCTAAACAACCTCTTCAGAGATGTTAAGACATACCTCAGGAGCAGGTGGGACTTGAACATGGGTCTCCTGGCCCAGAAGTAGGAACATCACTTTCCTTTGTAGATTTTCTGTTTTTTCTGTGTTCTCTCAGTATCCAGATGTACTCTCACACACAACTGAATGTTTTTTTGTAATCACCCGTGATATTTATTCATCCTTTATCCACCATCATAAATCAGCTGTGTTTTCCAATTGATTAATTTACATGCAAAGCCTGATAAGGGCAAAGCAGACTGCCAAAGTTGGGTGGGGCTAAATCAAAATGGAGTTGAAAAGGAAGATAAAGCACTCTACCACCTGCATTGTGAATATTGGTAGACACCATATACTCCCTCTCCAAGACACCCGGGCACAAATATAACCATGTAAGAGGGACAGTCGGCAGCTATGACACCCCTCAAGTGCCCACTGCCTGCACTTCCCATTTGATAATCTCAAATTGATGCTCCAAAAATTGAAAGTGGGATCCCCAATTAACTCAATTATCTGTTAATATGATTGCTGATTCTTCTCCTCCTTTTGAAAATGGCTGTGATTCCTGACCCCCAGGAGCATGCACAGCAGCAGCAAAATTTCTCAAATAAATAGATAGAGTGATAATTATAGATCATAGATCACAGAATCCCTACAGTGTGGAAACAGGCCCTTCGGCCCAACAAGTCTACACCGACCCTTCCAGCATCCCACCCAGACCCATCCCCCTATAACCCACCTAAGCTGCACATCCCCGAATACTACGGGCAATTTAGCATGGCCAATCCACCTAACCTGCATATTGTTTGACTGTGGGAGGAAAAGTGGAGTACCTGGAGGAAACCGACACAGACACGGGGAGAATGTGCAAACTCCACACAGACAGTCGCCCGAGGGTGGAATTGAACCCGGGTCCCTGGCGCTGTGAGGCAGCAGTGCTAACCACTGAGCCACCGTGCAAACCCTTAAAAATGAGAAGTATATAGGTGAAGAAGAACAACTAAGAACTTTTTTAAAATTTTGAAATATAACTTTATATTGTCCATGCAGGGTTTGAAAAACAAATCAGAGATAAGCAGTGACAGTCAGACTTTCAGTTGTTTGTTGGTATTAGAAAACATTCTCATCAATGAATAATTCTGATGTAATAATGACATAAAACTATTGATAATTTCTATAGAACTCCATCAGGTTCAAAAATGAATGGAAATCTGCATTTGTTGATCTAGTTTGAATCCACAGAATCCCTACAGTTTGGGAACAAGCTATTTAGCCCAACAAGTCCACACTGACTCTCTGAAGAGCATCCCACTCAGACTCCCACCCCCCACCCCACCCTATCCCAGTAACCCTGCATTTCCCATGGCTAATCCACCTAACTTACACATCCCTTGACACTACGGGCAATTTAGCACAGTCAATCCACATAACCTGTACATCTCTGAACAGTGCAAAGAAACCTACACAGACAAAGGGAGAACGTGTCAATTCCACACAGACAGTTGCCCGAGGCTGGAATTGTACCCAGGTCCCTGGTGCTGTGAGGCAGCAGTGCTGACCACTGAGGCACCGTGTCACCCTAATTGTGTTTGGAAATGGAATGATGGATTGTAGCAAGCTTTTCCCTTGGGAGAACACTTGTTATTTAACATGGGTAAGTACTAATAATGTACAAGACAAAATTTCATAAAGCTTCGTGGACTACAACGTATTATTTACATTATGCTAAATCTTCCCCAAGTTCCACAACATTATTTACACAGCATCATCACACTATATATGTTGTAGCACAGCACTTACTTTGGCATCATGCTTTGTTGTCATGGATTAGTATGCCATCAATGTGGCAAATTCCTCCCTCTTATCCTTTCAGGATATATTGTTTTTTTTTTTAAAAGTTGAAATGCATTCTTCCTGAAGGACCCTCACTACATCTGTCAATACCAATGTTGAACCAATTGCCAGTTCAGAGGTTCACTGAATATGACCTAAACTTTGAGATCTGACCCTTCATCAACTTCATGGTCTAAATGGGGAAATTTCAAAAGGTGGTGAAAGTGGACTTGCTTCCAACTGCCACTACTTTTGTTTTCAACAGAAGTTGCTTTATACTTTCTTTTATATTTCCCACCCTAGTCTTCATCATTTGGTCCGTTATTTCACTCTCATCTCCAAGATCTTTCAGTATGGACTCCATGATTGTTTGAAGCCATTCCTGGTTATACTCCTGGCTTTGGGAAAATAACTCATTTATCTGTGTTTCAATGCGGAGTAGCAAATCTTCATCTTCTGTGATTTTACTGACAATCTTCAGACCATGCTTCAGCTCTTTGAACTGTTCAATATTTTTCAGTCCATCATCTCCAAATTCATTTGCGCATAAACTGAAAATGGAAAGGCAATAATAATTAGCAAAAACTTCAATCATACATAAATACACACAGCATGTGTGAGAATCAAAAATTCCAGCTCACCTTGTCACCTTGAAAGAACTGTACAGGGGAACAAAGAAAATCAGAGCAACAATAGGTCATTGGCTCTGAGTCTGCCCAACTATTCAACTAGATCATGGATGAACTTTGACCTCAATGCTATTTTCCCATTCTACAGCACTCAAAATACATGTGGAAATTGTGAACTTCGTCACAATACCACTGAAAATGCCTGGGACAGTTTAAACACTGGGACAACCTAAAGTGCCTTCTGGAACAAAAACAAAGTTGCTGGAAAAGCTCAGCAGGTCTGGTAGCATCTGTGAAAGAAAAAACAGAGTTAACGTTTTGGATCCAGTGACCCATCCTCAGAACGGGGGTTTGTTCCTGATTTACAGCATGTGCAGTTCTTTCAGTTTTTTCTAAAGTGCCTTCTGCTGGGACTAAGCTTTTTGGCAATAATGTAGAAAGTAGGTGCAGGAGTAGGCCATTCAGCCCTTTGAGCCTGCATCACCATTCAATATGATCATGGTTGATCATGCAATCTCAGTATCCCATTCCTGCTTTCTGTCCATACTCCTTGATCCCTTTAGCCACAAGGGCCACGTCCAGGTCCCTCTTGAATATATCTAATGAACTGGCCCGACTTGCTTCCTGTGGGAGAGAATTGCACAGGGTTCACAACTCGGAATGAAGAAATTCTGCCTCATCTCAATCCTGCATGGCTTATCCCTTATTCTTAGACTGTGACCCCTAGTTCTGGACTTGCCCAACATCGGGAACATTCTTCCTGCCTCTAGCCTATCCAGTCCCATCAGGATTTTATCTGTTTCTATGAGATCCCCCCTCATTCTTCTAAATTCTAGTGAGTACAAGCCCAGTCAATCCAATCTTTCCTCATATGTCAGTCCTACCATCCCGGGAATCAGTCTGGTGAACCTTTGCTGGACTCCCTCAATAGCAAGAATGTCCTTTCTCAGACTAGGACGCCAAAACTGCACACAATACTCAAGGTGTGGCCTCACCAAGGCCCTGTATAACTGCAGCAAGACATCCTTACTCTGATACTCAAATCTGCTCACAATGAAGGCCAGCATGCCATTAGCTTTTCTCATTTCCTGCTGCACCTGCATGCCAACCTTCAGCGACTGTTCAACCATACCACCCAGGTCTCATTGCACCTCACCTTTTCCTAAACTGCCACCATTCAGATAATAATCTGCCTTCCTGTTTTTACAACCAAAGTGGATAACCTCACATTTATCCACATTATATTGCATTTGCTAAGTATTTGCCCACTCAGCCAGCCTGTCCAAGTCACCCTGCAGCCTCTTAGCATCCTCCTCATAGCATACATAGCCACCCAGCTTAGTGTCATCTGCAAATTTGGAGATGTTGCATTCAATTCCTTCGTCTAGAGTGTTAATGTATATTGTGAACAGCTGGATCCCAGCACTCTGCCCTGCGGCACCCCACTCGTCACTGCCTGCTTTTTTGAAAAGAACCTGACTATTCCTGTCTGCCAACCAGTTCTCTATTCACGTCAATACATTACCTCCAACACGATGCGCTTTAATTTTCCTTACTAATCTCTTGTGTGGAACCCCGTCAAAAGCCTTTTGAAAGCCTAGACACACAACATCCACTGGTTCACCCTTGTCTACTCTACTGGTCACATCCTCAAAAAATTCCAGAAGATCTGTCAAGCATGATTTTCCTTTAGTGAATCCATGCTGACTAGGATGAATTCTGTCACCGCTTTCCAAATGCTCAGTTATTACATCCTTAACAATTGACTCCAGCATTTTCCCCACCACTGATGTCAGGCTAACTGGCCTATAATTCCCCATGTTCTCTCTCCCTCCTTTTTTTTTAAAAAGGAGTGGGGTTATGTTAGCTACCCTCCAGTCCATTGGAACTCTTCCAGAATCTAAAGAATGCTGGAAAATGATCACCAATGCATCTGCTATTTCTATGGCCACTTCCTTAACTACTCTGGGATTCAGAGCATCAGGCCCTGGGGACTTATGGGGTTTTAATCCCATCAATTTCCCCAATACCATTTCCTGACCAATAAGAATTTCTTTCAGATCCTCTTTCATACTTGACTCTAGCATCTCCTGAAGGTTATTTGTATCCTCCTTAGTGACAACAGATCCAAAGTATTTGTTCAACTGGTCTGCCATCTCTTTATTGTCTATTATGAATTCACCTGATTCCACTGCAAGAGGCCTACATTTGGCTTCGCCAGTCTTTTTCTCTTCACATATCTTTGGCTTTAACACTATCCCTAATTTACCTTGTTAGCCGTGGTTGAGCCACCTTCCCTGTTTTACTGTTATGCCAGATAGGGAAGTACAATTGTTGAAGTTCATCCATGTGTTCTTTAAATGTCCTTAAGTATCCTTGGCCAGCTTATCCTAGCATGTCTCAAACCATCAAAGTTAGCTGTCTTTAAGTTCAGGACCCTAGTTTCAGATTTAATTGTGTCACTTTCCATCTTAATGAAGAATTATACCATATTATGATCACTCTTCCCCAAAGGATCTCAAACCACAATGTTGGTAATTAATCCTTTCTCATTACACAATACCCAGTCCAGGATGGTTTGCTTTCTAGTTGGTTCCTTGACATATTGGTAGCGGAACCATCTCTCATACATTCCAGGAAATCTTCCTCCATCAGATTGCTACCAGTTTCATTAGTCCAATCAATATGTAGATTGAAGTCACCCAAAATAACTGCTGTACCCTTACTGCATGCATCTCTAATTTCCTGTTTGATACAACCCCCAACCTCTCAACTGCACACGACTTCCACTGACATCTTTTTCCCCTTTGGTGTTCCTCAGCTCCACCCATACAGATTCTATATCGTCCAGCCTTACTAATCTCCTCCTTAACCATCAACGCTACCCCACCTCCTTTTCCTTTCCATCTACCTTTCCTGAAAATTGAATAACCCCGGACGTTGAGTTCCCATCCTTGGTCACCCTAGAACCAGGTCTCCACAATCCCAATTACATCATATCCATTAATAACTACCTGCACAATTAATTCATCCACCTTATTACAAATGTTCCTCGCATTGAGACACAGCCTTCAAGCTCATTTTTTTGACATTTATTGCCCTTGTAGAATCATAGTGTAATGTGGCCCTTTTTGATTTTTGTCTTTGGTACATATGCTGGTGTATGTTTGTGTGTTATAAGAGGGATGTGATGGAGAGAAAGAGGCTCAAAGTGGGTTTTGGACACATAATAGGCTTGAAGGAGGGCAAGGGGAAGGAGGAGACTCTGCACTGGTGTAGGGAAAGGAAGTGGGTTGAAGGTGGTTGGGACAGAGTTGGTGTTGGGGGAATGACGGAGGTTGCAAGGTGATTAGGGAAGAGAGAGCCTGCAGATGCCTGAAAAACATGTCCGGGGTGAAGGAGGCTGCCTGGTGGCTTGCAAGAGAGGAAGGCTGCTATACGGGTGGGTGGGTGCAGGGGTGGTAGGGCAGAAGGAGGCTGCAAGTTTTGCCAGTGGGGTGTGGTGGTGGCAGGGAGGCTGCAAAGAGAGAACAGCTTTAAATATGCAGGGTAATAGGGTGGGGGGCCGGCAGGTATGGGTAGTGTGCTCTTGGGAAGATTGGTGTGAACTAGATGGGCCAAAATTATGATTCACTGAGGCAATAAATTCCTCATAAATAAATGAGGAATCCCTAATTTAGGTGCCCATAAGTTATGGGTCTGCTTAATGGGGAAAACGTAGTGGATGCTATTGTAATCAAAACTGTGTCAATATTTAAGTTTATTCTGAAGCTAAGATCTGATGTGGAATAAAAGGGATAGTAACTGGCTGGTTAAAATGATGGAGATACTTAACAACTCTTAGCAAAGACTTGTTGCAAAAGCAAGATAAAAGTCTCCAACTGACATCTTTATTGTTCTAAATCACATTCTAGTTTCCCAGTTTATCTTTTTCCCCCCAACTCTCACATCCTCATCACTTCCTTTTTTTTTAATATCTAAAACACCAATCTTAGATTAACATTTTTCATCATCAAACTGAATGTCAAATTTTAATCATGTTACAATCACTGTGACTTTGAGGCTTCTTTACGATAAAGGTTATTAATTAATCCTGTCTCATTACACTATTCCAAGTCTAGAATAGCCTGCTCACTGATTTGCTATAGAATACATTATTCTAAAGCTGGTTGGAGCCAAGTTCCCAACATGTTTTCATTACTTCTCCCGCTTTTATTATCCCAAACTGTACTCAAACCCTTGTGCTGCTTTTTTTTTTTAAAAAAGTCCCCCAAGGTTTATGATCTGTTCTATAAGAATGATTTATCTCCTTTCTCAGTTGGTCTTAGTATGAAGCCTTCAATTCAGGGAACTTGAGAGGCTCACTCTTAGTGAGTGTGCACTTACTTTCCATGATCTTATAATAAGCACTGGAATTACTTTCTATCCCAGTCTTGGGAAGAAGTATCCTCTGACAACAGAGAAAGTGCTCCCACACGATGGTACAGAAAAAAGTTAACTTTCTTTATGAAAGTAATTATACACTAACCATTTTACCACTGATAAATAATCCAGACGTTTTAGGGTGGAGACTGAAGTTTGTTGGGGGGAGCAATAAGATGGCAGGGGAGTATTTGCATCATGTTTCCAACCGTTTGTGTTCATTCATCATTTTAACTAACCTGAGTCTGACATCATGTATATACACACATTTGTTACTTTGCAAGAAACTACATATGTACATAAACAAATTTACATTAATGACTCAGCACACATGCTACATACTTACTAGAGTTTCTCAAGAGTTGTGTTGTAACTCAGGCAATCAACCATGTTTTTAATACCTTCATCAGTAATCTTATTATCATACAAACGAAGAGATTTGAGACTTCGGTTTTTTGTTAGAGCTTTCCAAAAAAACTGAGCTCCTCTGGCACCAAAACAATTTGTGCCACATCTAAATGAAAACAAGAAATCCAGAGACAGAAACGACAGGGATCAGATTTTATACTGAAATTTGAGCAAATTCTTTTTTTAAAAAATGATTTAAATACTTACGATAATGTCTCAATTCTGCATTTTGGATCTTGAAGAAGGTCACTCAAAATCTCTGCTGACTTCTCAGTCAATTTGTTGGAGCTTACACTGTAATATGATAGCAAAGACACTTAGTTTTGAATGCTTGCCTAATAAGGATCGGCTTACTGAAAAGAAGACATTAAGAAGCGCAGCACTGTTAGGGAAAAAGCTTTTGGCCCATAACAAATAAGGAAAACTTCTGTATTAGATATTATTTTAGTACACAGGGTAAATTTGATCTGGCAATAGTTTTAAATAGAATAATTTTTAAGATATCCTTTGTTACTGTCATGGAGAGCCAAATACACAAAACTGTCTTGATTTAACCATCCTTTCAAATACAAACTTTGCTATCTGTAAGTCCGTTTGGCACTGGTCTGCATGCAACATTCTCAAGGTCATGAGAGAAAACAGACAGTGGATTCTGTTGATGGTTCCCTGAGCAGACTGTTAAAGTCATTTGACAGACTCACTCTATTACCCTGATGTAATTATGCAAGGTATGATTTGTTTGGTTAGCATGTAATACAATACTATTCACTATACCTCGGTACATGTGACAATAATAAATCAAATCAATCAAATCATCTCCAGGTCTGTTAAACAAGCAACCAAAAAGTGCAACATGACTGGTGGTTAAAAAGGCACACTACGTCAGACCCTTTATGCACATCCAAAATCTCAGAGTCCGTCAAGGGAGCTGTGGTGGCAAAGACATTATTGTTCACTTTCCTACGGAATGGGTCTTTTCAAAGAAAGCATGGAAAGATATCAGTCGTGCAGAACTCTGTGCTCTACAGGTCATCCCCAGGGACATACTCAGATAAATATCACACTGCTGCTGGAGGATCATCAACTCAGTGAAAGGCACTAAAACTAAAGAACAAAGAACTGCAGATCCTGGACATCTGAAATGGTTTCAGTGGAAGGCACTCTTTGGTCTGCCAGAAACTTGTTGGTTCTCCACTGCAAAGTTGACCACAACTGTGTTACAGACTGGCACATTCTAAAGGTCAGAACTACATGCTGAAGGACACATTAAAGCTTGAGACAGCTGCCACAAAGGCAGAGTGGGGTTAGTTCACTACCTAAAACCAGTCAGCCATAGTGCAAAGGGCTGGTAAATTAGGTAATCATCAGGCTATATGAATATCATTGAATTCATAAATGCCATTGCATTGTCATGAGATTCCTAAGAATACAACGTGCTCGATGGAGAAAAATTGAAAGAATTACTGCACTTTCTAGAATGTCTGATTTAAAATGTTTATGAATAAAGTAGATTTTTGGACAAAATATCTTTAAGAGCATAAGAAGCAAAAGCAGAAATTGCTGGCAAAACTCAGTGGGTTTGGCAGCATTTGTGGGGAGAAAGCAGAGTTAACGTTTCGAGTCCAGTGACTCTTGAACAGGGCTTAGGAAGGTCGTTTTGATACGAAAATAAACAAAGATGTAAATCTCAGTTTTTAAACAGAATAACTTGTTATTCCTCTTCAAAACTATGGAATTTTGCCCTATAGCTCCTGGACCCAACAGAGATAAGAAGAAAGAAAGAAATTATATGTATTCATATGATACCTTCATGGATTCAGGATTTTCCAAAACATTTCCAAACTGATGTAATACATTTCCAGTGTCGTCACTGCTGTTTTACAGATAAGCATATCAATCAATTTGTGCCCAGTGATGTTACAGATTATGGTCAAAAGCAAAACAATTTACATTTATGAAGTAAAAAATTCTAATATGCTTCAGAGTAGCATCATGAAACATGATATAATTCCAAGCGGCATAAGGAATATTAGATCAGATGAACAAAATTGATTCCAACTTGGATTTAAGTCTTTGGGAACAGGGTCACAGTCCAATTCTTCAGTTTTACCAGGAACCCAGAAACACTGGTACATAGAAATTCGCAGGTTCCACTGAGAAAGAAAAGATTTCAGGAGAGATTTATGGCTTCTAGTGTGTCTTCCTTACAGACTCATGATTGTAAAACAAAACTATAAAGTCCAGAAAGGACTGTTAGGCAACTAATAGTATCTAGGTTACCTAAGCCTTTCGAAGCCAGTTTGTCCAGTAATTAAGGCAATCAAATAAAAATAGAAATTACTGGAGAAACTCAGCAGGTCTGGCAACATCTGTGAAGAGAATGCAGAGTTAATGTTTCAAGTCCAGTGACCCTTCTTCAGTACAAGGGAGTGAATTTTATACCATAGCAACTTAACTGCTGAAAGTTGGAGCGATAATTTGGGATGCTGAAGAAGCCAAACTTACAGGAGTACAGATGTAGAGTCATAGCATCATAGAGATAAACAGCATGGAAACAGACTCTTCGGTCCAAATTGTCCATGCCGACCAGATATCCTAAATAAACCTAGTCCTATTTGTCAGCATTTGGCCCATGTCCCTTTAAACCCTTCTTATTCATGTACCATCCAGATGGCGTTTAAATATGTTGTAATTGTACCAGCCTCCACCACTTCCTGAGCACACCAACCTGTGTGAAAAAGTTGCCCCTTAGGTCCCTGTTAAATCTTTCCCCTCTCACGTTAAACCTATGCCCTCTAGTTTTGGACTCTCCCACCCCAGGGAAAAGACATGGTCTAGTTACCCTATCCATGCCCCTCATGATTTTATGAACCTCTAAGGTTACTTTTCAGCCTCCAACGCTCCAGGGAAAACAGTCCCAATCTATTCAGCCTCTTCCTATAGCTCAAACTCTCTAATCCTGGCAACATCCTTGGAAATCTTTTCTGAACCCTTTCAATTTCACAACATCTATCCTATAGCAGGGAGACCAGAATTGCACACAGTATTTCAATTGTGGCCTAACCAATGTCCTGTACAGCCACAACATGACCTCCCAACTCCTATATTCAATGCGCTGACCAATAAAGGCAAGCATACCAAATGCCTTCTCACTATCCTGTCTACCTGTGACTCCACTTTCAATGAACCATGAACCTGCATTCCAAGGTTTATTTATTCACAACACTCCCTAGGACCTTACCATTATATGTATAAGTCCTGCCCTGATTTGTCTTCCCAAAATGCAGCGCCTCACATTTATCTAAATTAAAACTCCACCTGCCACTCCTCAGCCCATTGGCCCATCTGATCAATATACCATTGTACTCTGAGGTAATCTTTTTTGCTGTCCACTACACCTCCAATTTTAGTGTCATTTACAAACTTACTAACCATACCTCCTATGTTCATATCCAAGTCATTTATATAAATAACGAAAAGCAGTGGACCCAGCACTAATCCTTGTGACACACCACTGGTCACAGGCCTCCAGTCTGAAAAGCAACCCTCCACTACCACCCTCGGTCTTCTACCTTTGAGACAGTTCTGCATCCAAATAGAGTTCTCCCTCTGTTCCATGTGATCTAACCTCGCTTACCAGTCTACCAGGAGGAACCTTGTTGAACACTTTACTAAAGTCCATATACATGATGTCAATGGCTCTGCCCTCATCAATTCTCTTTGTTATTTCTTCAAAAAACTCAATCAAGTTTGAGACATGATTTCCCACGCACAAAGCCATGTTGACTGTCTCTAATCAGTCTTTGCCTTTCCAAATACATACAAATCCTGTTCGTCAGGATTCTCTTCAACAACTTGCCCACTATCGATGTCAGGATCATCTGTCTATAGTTCCCTGGATTTTCCTTACCATCTTTCTCAAATAATGGCACCATGTTAGTCTACCTCCAGTGTTCAGGCACCTCGCCTGTGGCCATCAATGATACAATATCTCAGCAAGGGGTCCAGTAATCTCCTCCCTAGTTTCCCACAGAGTTCCAGTGTACACTTGATCAGGTCCCAGGGATTTTTTTTTCCATTTGTGGGCGTCGCTCACTGGCCAGCTTTTATTGACCGTCCCTAGTTGTCTTGAGAAGGTGGTGATGAGCTACCTTTTTGAACTGCAGCAGTCCACCTGCTTTGGGTGGACCCACAATGCCATTAGGGAGGGAATTCCAGGATTTTGACCCAGCAACAGTGAAGGAACAGCAATATAGTTCCAAGTCAGGATGGTGAGTGGCTCAAAAGGGAACTTGAAGATGGTGGTGTTCCCATATATCTGCTGATCTTATCGTTCTAGATGGAAGTGGTCGTCGGTTTGGAAGGTGCTTTCCGAGGATCTCTGGTGAATTTCTGCAATGCATCTGGTAGATGGTACATACTGCTGCTATTGAGCGTCGGTGGTGGAGGGAGTGGATGTAGTGCCAATCAAGTGGGCTGCTTTGTCCTGGATGGTGTCAAGCTTCTTGAGTGTTGTTGGGGCTACACTCATCCAGGCAAGTGGGGAGTGTTCTAACACACTCCTGACTTGTGCCTTGTAGATGGTGGACAGGCTTTGAGGAGTCAAGAGGTGAGTTACTCACCACAGTATTCCTAGCTTCTGACCTGCTCTTGTAGCCACTATGTTTATGTAGTGAGTCCAGTTGAGTTTCTGGTCAATGATAACCCCCAAGATGTTGATAGTGGGGGAATTCAATGATGGTTATACCATTGAGTGCCAAGGGGCAGTGGTTAGATTGTCTCTTATTCGTGATGGTCATAGCCTGGCATTTGTGGCGTGAATGTCACTTGCCACGTGTCAGCCCAAGCCTGGGTAGTGTCCAGATCTTGTTGCATTTGAACATGAACAGCTTCAGTATCTGAGGAATTGTGAATGATGCTGAACATTGTGAAGTCATTAGCATAAATCCCCACTTCTGACATAATGTGGAGGAAAAGTCATTGAAGCAGCAGCTGAAGATAGTTGGCCAAGGACACTACCCTGAGGAACTCCTACAGAGATGTCCTGGAGCTGAAATGATTCATCTCCAACAACCATGACCGCCTTCCTATGTGTTAAGTATGACTCCAACCATCGGAGAGTTTGCCCCCGATACCCATTGATTCCAATTTTGCTAGGGTACCTTGATGCTACACTCAGTTGAATGCAGCCTTGATGTCAAGGGCTGTCATTTCACCTCACGTCTGGAATTCAGAATTCAGCTCTTTTTTTCCATGTTTGAACCAAGGCTGTAATGAGGTCAGGAGGTGAGTAGCCTTGGTAGAACCCAAACGGGGCGTCACTTTACCGCTGAGCAGGTGCTGCTTGATAGCGCTGTTAATGACACCTTCCATCACGTTACTCATTATTGAGAGTAGACTGATGGGACGGTAATTGGCTGCATTGGATGTGTCCTGCTTTTTATGTACAGGACATACTTGAGCAATTTTCCACTATCGCCAGAATATTGTCAGGACCCATAGACTTTGCAGTGTCCAGTGTCTCCAATTGTTTCTTGACATCACATGGAGTGAATCTATCCAGCTTTACGTGTTTTAAGGCATTCGGCATCTCCTCCTCTGTAATATGGACATTTTTCAAGATGTCGCTATTTATTTCCCCACATTCTCTATCTTCCATATCCTTCTCCACAATAAACACTGATGCAAAATACTCATTTAGTATCTCCCCTATCTCCTATGGTTCCACACATAGGCAGCCTTGCTGATCTTTAAGGGGCCCTATTCTCTCTCTGGTTACCCTTTTGTCCTTGATGTATTTGTAGAATCCCTTTGGATTCTCCTCAACCCTATTTGCCAAAGCTATCTCATGGCCTGTTTGCCCTCAAGTACATTCCTACTGCTTTTATACTCTTCTAGGGAATCATTCAATTTCTGCTGTCTGTATCTGACATATGCTTCCTTCTTATTCTTGACCAAAATCTCAATTTCTCTAGTCATCCAGCTTTCCCTACACCTACCAGCCTTGCCCTTCACCCCAACAGGAACATACTGTCTCTGGACACTCGTTATCTCATTTTTGAAGGCTTCCCACTTTCCAGCTGTCCCTTTACCTGTGAACACCTGCCCCCCAATCAAGTTTTGAAAATTCTTGCCTAATACCATCAAAATTAGCCTTCCTCCAATTTAGATCTGGCGTATCCTTTTCCATCACTATTTTAAAACTAATAGAATTATGGTCACTGGCCCCAAAGTGCTCCCCCACTGACACTTCAGTCACCTGCCCTGCCTTATTTCCCATGAGTAGATCAAATTTCACACCTTTTCTAGTACATCCACATGCTGAATCAGAAAATTTTCTTGTACACACTTAAATTCCTCTCCATCCAAGGCCTTAACACTGTGGCAGTCCCAGTGTATGTTTGGAAACTTTAAAAAATCAACTACCGTAACCACCCTGTTATTCTTACTGATATCTTGAAAGATTGAGGAATTAGGCTGGATTGCAGAGGTTGGGAACAGCAGGGCCTTGGAAACAAGGATGAGAATTTTAAAATCAACTCAAAAAGGGTGAGGTCTTGTAGATAAGAGGAAGCAACGAGTCATTTTTGTACTCTAGATAATTCTGGAAGAGTAAGCAATTCTGGCAGAAGAGATTGTGACTTAGTAAGGTGTTATGTGGTCCAACTAGATCTGGCAGTGACTAAATCAGATGTCTGCCACATCCTTTCAAACCAAGAGATAGTAGGAAGTGCAGATGCTGGAGAATCTGAGATAATAAGGTGTAGAGCTGGATGAACACAGCAGGCCAAGCAGCATCAGAGGAGCAGGAAGGCTGACGTTTTGGGCCTAGACCCTTCTTCTTCTAGACCCATTTCTGAAAAAAGGTCTAGGCCCGAAACGTCAGCCTTCCTGCTCGGCCTGCTGTGTTCATCCAGCTCTACACCTTGTCATCTCCTTTCAAACCAAGCTCTGTTGTTTATGGAGCAACTATTGGCACCATGATTTACGATTCTTTCGCGTGAAATTTGGGAACTTGATAAAAGTCAACACCCCAGTACTTTGACTAACTTACAATCCTGAGAAGCTGAGCTGTGATCAATGTCTAGCATGATTTCCAACTGAACTGAAGGCCTGTTGGAATGATCAGTATATGGCTGTGAGCAATTTGAGTTTTGTCAGTAAGAAGTTTGATGGACTGGAAAGAATCATACATCTCTATCCTTTGTTTCACAGGCCATTGATCAATAAGGACATGTTTCCCTTTTATTTTTTTAAATATCATCTCTGCAATGTGATTGATATCCTGTGCATGAGGGTTTTTTTTGTGATTGACAGGGAACATAATTCTAAATCTGGATTATATCTTACACATTGACCTACCCTGCCACTTGTTTTGTGTTAAAATAAACGGAATATTTTCATTATATTGAAGAAGCATAGTGCAAAATTGCTTTAATTCTGAATAATGGTGCAAAAGGAAATAATTTGCCATTTTGTTGATTGAATTTAAACATTTATATGTCTAACATATGTTTATGTGTGACTCATGACTTGGGGCTTAATTATTAGTACATTTGTCCTGTCATGTTTATAGCAAATACATCATTAAGTGTGGGTGAGACTTACAGCAGACCTTGCCATCAAACTATGTACTTTACAGCAAACTAACCAAACAGTAAGGCAAACAAAGTGAATTTAGAAATACTTTTCAAAACAAATCTATGAACTATAGCAAAAAAGACCTATAGCAAAGAAACCCAGTCACATACATCAGTAATTTCCAGGCATAATTGATAGGAGACTGTACAAATTGTCTCCACGACTGGAATGTTAAATAATGCAGGCATATAAATTCATCAAGACAGAACTGTGGCAGAAAATGCATGACAGAAGCAAGCACAGCAAAAGACAGTACAGGACAAAGCACCCAAATGCAAGATTTTATTCCTTGCAGATTGTAAACCTGTTGCTTTAAATTCTTATGAATAATATTACTCACAAAACAGTTTTGCACTTGAGTAGCACGTCCTTGAGCTGTTTTATTCCATCATCCCCTATGGTACAGAGTCTTAAATCCAATTCTACCACAGCAGAATGACAGAGACAGTAACGTAACGCAGCGAGGTCTAATGGGCCCAGAGAAATGTTGAAAAAATCTACATGCTTGAAATGAGGAGATACCTCTGTTGTTACAGTTGAATCATGCAGTTCAAAAAGACAATGCATTAAATTCAGCAGCTTGGACTTCTTGCAACCTTGTTCAAGACAGTTTTTGAACCAAGTCACTAGAGCTCTGGCTGTAGGTTGAGTGAGAGAAGCACTGCGGTTCCATAATTTAGTATCTGTTCTTGCTTTTAAGGAGCCCATGAGAAGCCTTGTGAAATTGTATACTGCCTCTGTATGTTCAGGCTTAAATGATCTCAAATAGTATTGGCTTTTTTGATTCTGTGGCATTCTCCCAAAACACCAAAGATCCAGACTTTTGACCAACTCTTCAGCATCATCTTTCAGTGATGTTGCACAATACAAAGCTGCAAAATATTCCTTTAACACAACGTGGCAGAACTCAAAGATACTTTGGCCTTTATACTTCTTTTCCAGGATTAGATTTGAAAAATACTTTGAAAGAACATCTGGATCTATTCCATAGTTATGCAGATCATCTATTTTCATTTCAAGTTTCCCTGACAGCAAATTATTGAAGGAGAGTTCCCCCAATTTCAGGATAGTGTCTTGAAGCAATTTGCCTTCCTGTTTAGTCTCCGAGTTATCAATAGTGACCACTGACTGTTTGTATGTCCTGCAGTGAACCAGGCTGTAAAGGAACTGCAACAGCACTTCACAGTGTGTCACTGGCACATCTGCCATCAAAGCCTGACTGCAGTTACAAATGTCCAAAATACTGCACAGGATATAGCTGTTGAGGGGATTTGACACCAGGCAGTTGATGGTCTCATGTTTGGTCATGTATTCATACATTCCTGCTGCTCTTTGATTTTTCTGATAGAACACTTCACAATACCTTCTCAACTGATCATTGGTAAACCCACGCATAACAAGGATGCAATCAAAATACTTCTTGTGAAATTCAAGTTGCTCAATATTCCAACAGGAGGTAACCAATACCTGTGCTGTTGAAAGGAGATCCCTTGCAATGAGACTGTAAACAAGAACATTTACTTCAGCCTCAGTGTCTATGTTAAAATAACCACCTGGTGGATTATTTTGCAACCGATGGTTGAATTCATCCAGTCCATCCAAAATGATCAACACATCCTGAGGGTTACAGAGAAGTTCCGTTAGGACTGATGACAATGACTCACACTGCTTCTTAAGCAGTTTCCGTAGAGTGGTCTTTCCTTCAACTTCATTTAAGTCACAGAATCTGAAAACAATGATGCACCTTGGTTGACATGGTTGAGATTCTGCCCATGCTTGCTGGATGCTGGCTACAGTCCAGCTTTTCCCCACTCCTTTGTCACCTATTAGCAGGACTCGCTTTGAAGGGTAGTCTGCTTTCTGTGGCAATGACAGCAGTTGTACAGCTTTCACTTCTGACACAAAATCCGAAGCAACTGCCCCCATAATGTCATCCAGAGCTGTGATTTGTTTCTTTGGAAAGGTAATATTGATTGTTCTGTCAAGTAAGCTATAGGCTTTGGACTTCCCATGTGACATCTTGTCCAGAAACTCTGATTGATTTTGCAAAATGTACTTTTGGTAAGCTTGAATGGCATCTGGAAGGAAACGGCTGAAGTTTTAGTATACAAACAGGGAATTGTTTCATTCAGAAACTGGAACTGGGCATTCAGCCAATTACATATGCAGCTTTTATAAATGTCCACCTCCCTTTAGTTTAAATTTTAAATGTTTACAGCATTTATATGCTCCTTTTCAGTATTTAATATTTGGGGCAGGATTTTAACGGTCAAGTGGGAGCAGGAACTCGGATGTATGGATCCATCATTTCCTGACACTGTACTATTTGTTTAGAATTTGGATTCCCATTTAGTGTAGAGCTAATCACTTTCCTAGTGCATCCACGGGACAATTTCCTGAAACATAAAAATGTTTCTGGGTGCTATCCTTGTCTTGATGTGGCTCCTCATGATCTGTCAGTAACACAGGAACCAGGAAATTTCAACACAGGGATTCACTAGCTCTTCTAACAGAAAATAATACCCTTGTGGGCAACAGAAACTATTTGTTAGAATTTTATGTGCCAAGGTTCCCATCACAAAATGACAGTTGATCTGTAGTGAAGCTGCTGTGCAAACAGGTGGAAAACTGGTTTTCAAAAGTCGATTTTGGTGACGTTGCTATATGGCCATGTTTGTGGCCAACGCCACCAATAGGAGAAACATCGCTTATGCACAATCACTGAATTATTTTTAAACTTCTCCATGCAGCAAACTATAAACAAACATAAGAGAGGTCATCAAGGCCAGACGAATACATCTGCATTTGAGAAGAATTGTTCCAGAACACTTGTGTAAGCTTAACCTTTTTTTCCTGTTGCCATAAATCGGCAATGTTTCACACAGGCAGTAACAAACTCCTATCTACCACCATTTTTAACAGTAGTTTTAGGAAGTGATTTCTTTAGCCACTATTTTTTTTCTCCCTAGTCACTTGATGTTAGACAAACACTGCATTTAAGTACATACTCTGCTTGTCTAACGTAAAATGACAATTGAGAGAGTATTAGTCGCTGGAAAAGTCACTTTGTAATGGTAAGATATCATGGATGCAATTACGAACAAACAGATTGATCATTAATTAATGGCGGTGCCCTATCTCTTGTGTTGGGAACACACTCCAGTTCCTATATTGAGGCAATTTCCCATGACCTCTAATAGGTGGTTTACTCCAACACCAAAAGATCAACACTGCCCCCTTTGCACGATGTGGACAATTTGGGCACTCAGCACTTAATGTCGTTAATAACTTGTTATTCATCATGGAAAAGACCATCATGGTTTCAAAGCCTCAAAGTTGAGTCCTAATTTATGTCTGGTGGCAGTGATGGAAGATGCCAGAAGCACAAGTATCTAATGTTAAAATGGTGCAATGTTTAAGCTTCACACTGGTACTCCTTAATAAGTAGTTTTTGAATTATTTTTGAAAGGGAGCATGTAAACCAAGTCAGACTTCTCAGAGTAGTGTGGGAAGGGACATCCACATAATATTATCACAGTTTTAAAGTACCACCTCCTTCCCTATTCACCCATGAACGGGACTCATTCTGGAGGAATTACAGAAATGGTTTCAGAAGGAAGTAAACCTGATAGGTTACTGGTCTTTCAATAGGTTTCCAATGCACTTACATGTTTTTATCTATATTGTTTATCACCTTTAATGTATGGAGATAATGGAATCCATGTTCCAAATTTACTTAATGATTAAAATTCTATTCTTTCCTGGCTAAGTTACAAAATCAAATGTTATCACAATCCTCTGAAGTTTAGGTTGGCTTTTTGGTAGAAATGGATCAAATAGTTAACAAGAATACCAGATCTATTTTGTAATTAGCTGCAGTGACATCATATTTTAGAACCTAATAAGAACACAAAAGAGAACTCAGTTCATTACCTTCTACAGTGCTTCTCAGCAAAGCCATCGCTGGAAAAAAAAAATAAGCTCGAGTTAGTTCTGCTTCTCAAGGCTGCACTGTTCACTGTTGGTAGCTGTAGGAGTAACAAACTTACTGAGCATGTTTTTCTCTAAGGGCTTTGGGACTCCACAGTTGGAGTCAAAAGTGGGTGATAAGACTGCACTCTTAGGGGCCATTCACCCAGCTGTGATTTTCCCAGAGTTGTCCAATTGATAACTACAGGATAGATTTGCTATCCAATTAGAAACAACAGGTCAGCTCTCACAGCTGGAGGGCCGATAAGAGGCGTCCGCCATGGAAAAAGCAGCACGATGCCTTTTCTAATAAGTGAGCGAGGGCATTCCCCAAGGTGTACATCTCCTCGCCCCACCCACCAGTTGCTAAGGGCCTTTCATAATTACAACTTGTTGAAGTTGTAGAGAGGGGACTTCCATCTTGGGGATGCCCTCACTCTCCAATTTCTTAAAGTTTTATGAAAAGCCCTTTGTAACTAAACTCCCAATGTGGGCAGGATAGCCTGTGGCTGCAGCTGAAGTCAGGCAGGCTAGAAAAAGACTCTAGGCTGGTGTAGAATGCTGGCCTGCAGGAATGTCAATGGGAGGTGCGATGGTGATGGGAAAATATCATGTTGGCCAGCAGTGACACTTGCCTGCCTCTGCACTCTCAATCACTGGGGGAGGGCTAAACCTTCAGGCTACTACTGTATATTTAAAATTCAATCCTGCACAGAATGTTCAATTCAATGTAATGATAACAAATTTGACAACACTGTCCATAAATCGCACTCAATCAAACTGGATCTCACTTTTTTTGGCTGATTGCGAGTTGCGTCAAGTTTTTTTTAAAGAGGGTTTTTCACCACGAGGTCAAGTGAGATTTCTTACCTTGTCTTACCAAACTTGCTTTATCGTATACCCACCCCACCCTAACGGCACCCCTGGTTCTAGCCCTATCTCACCACACGCCCTTCCTGGAATAACTCACCATTCACCAGATGTCTGCCAAAGAGCTAGCATCCCTGGTGACTGCGCCATGTTAGAAAGGCCACTGTGCACTTGGGCAAAGACTAGCGTTCTGAAGCTGCCCTGCTCAGTTATGGGTAGAATTTGAACACGCTGGAGAAGGGGCAGATGATGCTGTGATTCTCTGATAAGGACCTGGAGGTTCTGTGGAAGAATGGTCCAAAGGAGGAGCATCCTCTTCCTGAAGAC